ATATATATATGTGTGTGTGTGTGTGTGTATATGCCTTCCACTCCTCAGCACATACATGATGTTTCAACTGTGCGGCTGTTACCCAGTAGATTGCGCATAACTTTTCCACAAGTACTCAGCACACCGGCCACCACAACACCCCCGGAGCAGTAGCACATGGTCGTGCCGGTTGCTATGGTTACCCGATCACGGTTGGCATAGCAACAGCAATCGCCCAAGACGTCGGCGGTGGCGATCAGGCTATCCAGGAGTGAGGACGAGATGCGCTTGGACACACCTGCCACGGGATCTACCAGATCACACATTGCACTTATCTGCATGAATGTGTCGAAGTTTGTGAGCGTGTAAGTGTGTAAGTGTACAAGTATGTAAGTGTGTATGTGTGCAAGTGTGAAAGTGTGTAAGTATGTAAGTGTGTAAGTGTGTAAGTGCTTAAGTGCTTAAATGTGTAAGTGTGTAAGTATTCTAAGTGTGTGTGGGGAGGGATAAGAATGAACGCCAAGTGGTGGCTGTATGGATGAACTCCGCTGGTGGGACGGTCTATGATTGGTATTTTGTAGGGTTTTAGGGTTTTGCTTCTAGAGTTTTCGCGTTTAAGTGTTGGTTGGTTGCATGCGCTCCCACAGGCCGAGTGGTGCAGTAGTGTACGTTTATTTGAGGGTTTTAGGGTTTAGGGTGTACGTTTATTCGTGTGCAAATGTTGGGCCAAGTATTGCCTACGCTTGACCTGAGCTTCAGCCTCTGCACGTCACACTAACTGAAGGTGTCAGATGTCACAGCGCCAGATGAACTGTGTGGAATGAGAAGAGGCTGTCAGCTGCTTTTAGGGTTTTAGGGTTTTAGCAGATGCTTGGTGTAGACTTTTGAGACAACCACGCACGCACAACAGACACATACAAAACCATCTCACACATACATGCAAAACCATCACGCACTCACATACTGTTCACATAGAAGACCACCTCCAACACGCATCATATATACATAAATGAACACAACACACGCACACCATGTACACTCAAATGACCACAATACAAGCACACCATGTACACTCAAATGACCACAACACACACACAACATGTACACTAAAATGACCACAACACCCACACACCATGTACACTCAAATGACCACAACATGCACACAACATGTACACTAAAATGACCACAACAAACACGCACCATGTACACTAAAATGACCACAACACACACACATGTACACTCAAATGACCACAACACACTCGCACCATGTACACTCAAATGACCACAACACACGCACACTATGTACAATCAAATAAACACAACACACATACACTATGTACAATCAAATGACCACAACATATACACACCATGTACACTCAAATTACCACAACACACGCACACCATGTACACTCAAATGACCATAACACACGCACACCATGTACACCCAAATGACCACAATACACACATACCATGTACACTCAAATGAACACAACACACACACCATGTACACTCAAATGACTACCACACACACATGTCCTGTATACATAGGCTGCAGACTGGGAGTAAGGACTTGGTTCATGACTCAAACAACGCTCACATCACTCCACACGCAATCTCAGGCCAACAGCAAGCGTACCAGATCATGTATCTTCAGCACCACCGGCAAGATCTTCTGCCGATTGCCCGCCTCTTCCGCGGACAATACCGGGACGGATTCCGGGACGTCACCCCTGCCGTCAGTGTCAGTGGTGTCATGAACGGTGTCAACCACTAGCACACTGACAGTTGTGGCAAAGCACGTGGCACCGCGTGCGAGTATGGCCGTCTCTATGAAGGACTGCGTCAGGTTTTGGCGGGAATCGTAGATGCGCTGCTGCGTGTCGTCGGGTAGGGCGGGGTGGGTGAAGTTGGCGTCTCCCAGATTGTCTGCGATAGCCTGTGTAGACCAGACGAGTGACGGGTGAAAGTGAGCACGTGTACGTGTATGTGTGTACAGGGGTGTAAGTTAACACGTGTATGTGTATGTGTTTGTGTGTACAGAGGTGTAAGTGAACACGTGTATATGTTTGTGTGTATAGTACCAGTGGTTGGTATGTCTACTGACCCTTCACAATAGTATGGGCGTACATATGTCGCCATGGGGAATGGAATGTCATGTCTGTCATTGGTATATTCTGAGGAACCACACAACGGGAAGTTGTTATCACGGATGCCCACTGTATGCGACACGCGCGCGAACGAAGCAATGCGTGCGACCGTATCTCAAGCACACTCGACCCCTATAGGGGTTTGAGTCCTTTTTAGGAAAGTCCAGCTGCTCGCAGACGTACCAAGAATGCGGTTTCACCTGTCACGTACACACACACACACACACACATACACTCACACACACACACACACACACCGTGGGTGGCGCTAGGCGACGCTAAGTCTTTACCTGAATGAGGATACTCAGCACAGTTGCGAATGGCGCTAGATGAGTCACCATATCCTGCGCGTACATGCACTGCTCCGCATATTTGCACACGTCCAATCGGATTGACGCTTTGTTTCTCTTAGATGCAATACTATTGGCTACCACCATCATATCTGTCAGGATCTGGTTGATGTGTGCGACGGTCACGTCTAACCGCACCCTCCACTGCAGTGCCGAGGACGTGTAGAACAACTGCGGGCAATAACAGATGTGAAGAGTAAACGCAATTGCGCGCCAAGACCGTTGTAGTATTAAGGTGTATAATTGATATAAAATATAAAGTATGACCATTGAAACGCCACATTACGAGAAGAACCAGGTACTGCAAATACACCTCATCAACATACAGAAGCAATGTAGAAGTAAGGTACTATCACCAGACATACACCTCATCAACATACAGAAGTAATTTAGAAGTAAGATAATATCACTAGACATACACCTCATCAACATACAAAAGTAATATAGAAGTAAGGTGATATCACCAGGCATACACCTCATCGACATACAGAAGTGATATAGAAGTAAGGTGATATCACCAGACATACACCTCAAAGTAATACATAATTAAAGTAATATCACCAGAGAACGGCACGTTGTATATATTCCTCAGACGCCACAGCTCCATGGACTTTGTGGCCACAATTGTTAAACATAAGTTAATGGGAGGCGCAACAGCACGCAGATGTCAGTGAAAAACACACAAACGCACACACACACGCAAACACACACGCACACTCGGAACACACACAAACGCACACATACACGCACACTCGAGCACACACAAACGCACACTCGAGCACACACAAACGCACACACATACACTCGAACACACTCAAGCGCACACTGTAGGTCATTCAATACATCACATGGAGGGTATTGGCGACGAGAAGCAGCATGTGGCGAATAAGCACAACTATCCTAAGCAACTCAGCACTGCATGAGAACACCATACAACAGGCCTCAACACGTACTAACACACGCAGCAACCCTAAAAACCCCTAGACGCACTGAGTAACACACCATTGCGCCTTCGCGGATGGGCGCAGGTGTGGTCTCGTCCAGATACCACCCCAGCACTACATCAGCGATGTCTATTACAAAAGAGCAGATGGAGCAAATGGAGCAAATGAGCACGTGAGGAATGCGGTGTTGGAGTGGAGGGAGCAGAAGGTAAGGAGGCCGACCCTTAGTAGGAGACAGATGGCGACTACGTCAGTAGATTTAAAAGATATCAACTACTTCAGTAGGCTTAAAAGATATCAACTACGTCAGTAGGCTTAAAAGGTATCACGGCAGAAGCGGAAGCGGACGGGAGCGTGCTAAATCGATACACGAACACCCATTGTCTGCACTGTTACATTTAACGGTAAAAAACGAAGTGAATGTATTTGAAGAAACAGACATATCATGACATGTGTAGTGGACGAGAGCGTACTTCATCGATATACCTATACCTATTGTCTGCATTGGTACATTTAACGGTAAAAAAAGAAATGAATATACCTATACCTATTGCCTACATTGGTACATTTCACGGTAAAAAATGCAGTGAACGTATTTGAAGCAACAGACATAGCATGACATCTGCAGTGGACGTACTAGGCAGACATAGAGGTACCTTGGTTACACGTACAGGTGTATATCTGTACTTGACTACACATGCATGTACATATCTTATATAGTCTGCACACTCTGTGAGTGCATACAAATATACAAGCGTATATAAGAAATGCCCATTAGAAGGGCCTTACACACAGTCACATATGCACTGGTGGCTACCTGGCAGATACAGAGCCAGATTGATTGACGCTGAGGAGTTTGTGATCAGCACCAGAATCTCCACCAGACACGTTGCTATGGTAACGGAAGGAGAGCTGTCCAGCAGTGGCTGCACTATGTGCACACAGATCGTGTTGATGAGGTCAGAGCACGCATTGAAGTGCTGGCTTTCTGCTCGGAGCAGCTGTGTGTGGGATGAGTGGGGGTGTTTAGGGTTTATGATTTACACCCAAGGTAAGCGAGTATGAAAACATAGCTAGTTCATCTGGCTGTTACGGATCGTATAAACACCCAAGGTCAGCGAGTATGAGATAAATACTTAGTTCATCCGGCGAGTATGAAGACATAGTTAGTTCACCCGGCTGTTACTGATCGTATTACAATGAGCCGTAGCGAAAGTAAGTAGCAAAACAGGAGTGGAAATAAAAGTGAATGCGTCGCTAGAGGGTTATTCGATACAAGAACGATAGCTGTGTGCGCTATTGCGGATGAAGTGCGTTGCAACGTAGGTAGGTATACGCTGGGAGTGGCAGATACTACGGGTGCAAACGGTCCACTAATACTCCTAATGAAATGTTCCTGTTTGAAAGACTGCTATTGGCATTTCGGCAACCGTTTTCAATATATGTCAACCCCTCAACGACTCCGACGAACGTACAGCTGCAGTTGCGTCACATATTTGGACATGCGTGAATCACATTAGCTAGGGTTTCAGCAAACCGTAACAAGACCGAGCAATCCAATACAAAGCCTCGGATGGGAGTTACGGTAATCGTCTCACTTTACCGCAGTGAACTATATGCACCGTTGCGCCTAAGCAAAGAACACTGTGGCTGGTGCAATACACGGCACGTAACATGGAGACGTGATAGAGCAATCACTTATATGTTGGGGATATCGGATAGCATGTAACTACCCGTACTATGGATTACAAACCAAGCATGCCCTTTACGCAGACATAGATTTCTCCACGTCTGATATTAATCGGTGGCCGCAGAGCCCTAATAATTACAAACAGGTGCATATAAAGCCGTCATGCAACTGGTAGTAACAGAACTATAGTGTGGTGTGTCTGCAGGGAGGACTGAGCGCTTACCTCTTTGGCGAATCGAACCCAGAGAATAGTACAATTGGGCGTTGCCATGACAACTGACGAAGCCTCCGACAGCCACCTGTGAAAGAGTACCAGCTAGTTTTTTAATATATTTGTCACTGTATACTGTATACATACTATATATATATATATGTATATTGTATATGGTATTTTATACTATACACTTACAATATAGTCTGTATGGTGCTATATTATTAATATTATATATATATATATATATATATATATATGTGTGTGTGTGTGTGTGTATATGTATAGT